CAAAGTGTTTGATATTGTTTTATGAACCTAACTCTGGGTTAGCCTTCCACCCTGTCTGGTTTGTTATTTGGTCTTCATGGAACCATTTTTCCAGTAATATTCTCTAACAAAGGAAGCTACACACGGATAGACTATCTAATAATTAGGCGATTTTACAGGATACTTTTTTTTTAGCATCCAACATCCTTTAAATTTATTTTCATTGTTATTTTAATCATATCACAGAAAATCCCAATGAAAGACATATTTTTTATAGTGTAACAGGTTTAGTTGTTTATATATTAGTTCATATGAGCAGTAACACAAAGTCATTCCATGCTAATGCAGTGATGTGATGTGAAAAACCAAAAACAATAAAGTTCTGGAATGCAACAGAATATTTCAAAGCACCTAATGATTGTTTCCTTCATCAAAGCAGGTTTTAAGCTCTCAGAGGCCAAAATAAATAAATAATAATTTTACAGCAGTATGATTATGAACAAAACAGGATGATGAAGGACCTTACTGGTGCCACTACACACACATGAAGTGAGAGCCATCAGTGAGCTGAGGGGGTGTGTTGGGAGACTGTGGGGGTGAGGAAGAAGACGACAGGCTTTTCACTGCAATTAAAAAAAGCATCATGTTGAACAAACAGGCACAGACAAATGATTAAAAAATAAAAAAAATATCCGTAACCAATTACTAAAAAGCCAAAGTGCAAAATTAAAAACTAAAGACAATCAAATTAATAAGGAAATTAAAAGAGGGTGTGAGAAGAAATTAATTACTAAGCACATAAAGGATGGAAGCAGTCAGTTTGTCTCCAAGAACTTCCTCCCACCAGTTTGTGTCCTATAGACCGTGCATCTCTTTAATGTAATCCCCCACCATCTCTCTGCGCTGTCCCTGCAGATGTACCTGCTACCAGCTTGCTGCGTTTGGAGGCCTCTGCTGCCAGCTCGTAGGAGATATTAATCATCTTCTCCTTTTCTTGAACAGTAACCTCCTCTTCATTCACGTCCTCTGGGCTTAAAGCTAAACTGGGTAGCACATTCGCCATGCTGGGTAAAAACACACACAAATGGTTTCATTAGAACACACAACAACCTTTGTATGTACAGGGATGTGAAAAATGATTTGCATCCTTATGGATTTCTTATTTTGGGGCTTTTTGTGACACTGCAGCGTTATAGATTGTTTGTTTTATTTGATGATTTTGCAGCAATTGTGTCTTTTATTAACAATTACAAGGAATTAAAATTCTGGATGGACGTTTTTAGGGCAAATTGACTCTGTTAACGGGGCGTCCACCTTACCACAAGCCCTCAGTGTGCCTCATTTTCAAATCAGAGATAGAAATAAATAATAAATATGAACTTAAGTGATGCTTCTTCCAGGCCTTTAGATGTGGCCTTGGTGGTTCGGTTTGGATAGTTTCTCTGTGGAAACAAGCAGTCACAAACTGCTCAAGAGCAGAATTCATATTTCCATCAATTACAGAAATTCATCTATGTCCTGAAGCAGCAAAACAGCCTTTTAACGGAAAAATCCGGTCATATTTAGAGTTCAAACTTCTGAAAGTACTTTAAATAT